TTTTTGAGCTGGAGTCTCACTCTGTTGCCCAGGCTGGAGTGCAGTGGCACGATCTCAGCTCACTGCAACCTCTGCCTCCCAGGTTGAAGCAATTCTCCTGTCTCAGCCTCCCAAGTAGCTGGGACTACAGGTGCCCACAATGCCCAGCTAATTTTTGTATTTTTAGTAGAGATGGGGTTTCATCATATTGGTCAGGCTGGTCTCGAACTCCTGACCTCAGGTGATCCTCCTGCCTTGGCCTCCCAAAGTGCTGGGATTACAGGCACGAGCCACCATGCCTGGCCTAAATTATTTCAGTTTTCACATGCAGTCCTCGAAGGTCAATACAAGTTATCTGTTTTATAGATGGAAAAAACTGAGGTTCAGAAAGTTTATATAATGTGCCCAAAGTTTCACAGGTAATAAGCAGAGGATTTGGAACTCAGAGCTTCTGCTGCCAAATACTGCTCTAAGATATGCCAGCTAAAGTCAGTTCCTAGGAACTTTATTTTCTTTCATCTGAAATCCAGAGAATGAGTTGACAGCAACTCTGAGTGCAGCCAAATACTTAAATATCCCTCAGAGTCTTATGAACCAAAAACTTCAAACTCTTGGGCTCAAGCCATCCTCCTGTCTCAGCCTCTCAAGTAGCTGGGACTACAGGTGTGCACCATTATGCCCAGCTAATTTTTTTCTTTTTTTCTTTTTTTTTTGGTGGAGACAGGATCTTGCTGTGTTGCTGAAGCTGGTCTCAAACTCCTGGGCTCAAGTGATCCTCCTGCCTCAGCCTCCCAAAGTGTTGGGATTATAGGCATGAACCATCATGCCTGGCCTGAACCAGAACTTTTTTTTTTCTCATTCTGTTGCCCAGGCTGCAGTGCAGTAGCACAATCTTGGCTCACTGCAGCCTCCACCTCCTGAACTCAGGTGATCCTCCCACCTCAGCCTCCCAAGTAGCTGAGACTATAGGCACATGCCACCACCCATAGCTAACTTTTGCATTTTTTAGGGGACATGGGGTTTGCCATGTTTCCCAGGCTGGTCTCGAACTCCTCGGTTCAAGCAATCCATCCCCCTCAGCCTCCCGAAGTGTTGGGAATATAGATGTGAGCCACCTTGCCTGGCTCAGAACTTTTAACCAAATTAATTAGCCCCCATTCCAGTCTGCATCAAACTAGAAATAAAGTAGGAGGAAGGGAAAAGGCTTTTAGATGGAAGTAGAGGGGTCCACAAGAAGCTATTCCTTCCAGCCAGATAGCAGGAAAGAAGCTCAAAGAAAGAAAAGCAGTGGGAGAACTGTCCCATCAGTGAGTCCAAGGGCTGACGGAATCACAAATGGAGCCATTTTGTCCTCCCTGTTGACACAGCACTTTCCAATGCCATTGTAGCAGCATTTCCCATAGTTACTTAAGTTACTGTTCCTGAGTTTTAACCAGCAGGGACTTCTAGTTTACAACTGAAGTCTTTCTCAACTAGGGTTCCTCAGCCAAACCAGAACACAGAAAGATTCAAGTGACTTTTTTTCAGTTCTCCCAAGGACAGTGTATGACAAATGTTAGCTCAAACACATAGAAGTTAATTTATCATCAGAATGGGTGTCTTGGGGTATGTGGGCTAACTTATCTTACAGAACCTGATTGGGAAAGACAGGAGGTGAGGTAGAAGTTTAGTCAATCAGTAATTGATCTGAAAAGCTCATCTGGTCCTGTTCAGTGTTTTATACAATTCTGAGGTTCAAGAAAGTGCAGCAACTCGCCAAGTGAGAGGTATGCCTGCTGTACCACTGTCACAGAGACTGTGGGTTCAGGAGCCTGTAATTAAGAAAATAAAGCTAGGCATCGTGATATATACCTGTAATCCCAGCTACTTGGGAAGCTAAGGCAGGAGGACCACTTGAGCCCAGAAGTTTGAGACCAGCCTAGGCAACACAGCAAGACCCTGTCTCAAAAACAAAAAAAAAAGGTAAAAAAAAAAAACCAACCAACCCCAGAAAATGTGTCTATTTTAGGAACAATTCCATCATAACCAATAACTAAATAGAAATGTGTGGTATGTAAAGGGGTGACTTCTGTTTTCCTGGAAATTTCACTTATGCAGGAAACTTAATTACCAAATTGATTACTTGATGATGAGTAAATAAATTAGTTGCTATTAGATCTACTCTTGGGGAAGCAGTAGCATTTAACCGCCTGTTGGTGGTAGTCAAGAGTCTTCCCCAAACCTTCAAATGTTAGGCAGGTTATGCCTGATCACGAGTGCACTGAGTGGTAGGGACTGAGATGTACGGGGTGCACTAAGGCTTTCTCAAAGGAGCAGGTGCTACTCAGACCCCTCTCTTACTACCGTGAATGCAGGCTCAGCATTATCAGATCTTGTTTTTTAACATTTCATTTAATCTTCCCAGAAATCCTATGAAGCATTCAACAAACAAGGAAACTGAGAGAGAGGATAAGTAATGTGTAGCATTGGGATCTGAATTCAGCTGTGACTTGAGAGACTAAGCTCTTAGCCTTTTTTTTTTTTTCTTTTTTTTTTTAAAAGACGGAGTCTCGCTCTGTCACCCAGGCTGGAGTGCAGTGGCGTGATCTCCGCTCACTGCAAGCTCCACCTCCAGGGTTCACACTGTTCTCCCGCCTCAGCCTCTCGCTACAGGTACCCGCCACCACGCCTGGCTAATATTTTTGTGTGTGTTTTTAGTAGAGATGGGGCTTCACCCTGTTAGCCAGGATGGTCTCGATCTCCTGACCTCGTGATCTGCCCGTCTCGGCCTCCCAAAGTGCTGGGATTACAGGCATGAACCACTGCGCCCGGCCTCTTAGCCATTTTTTAATACTGTCCAACAGAAACTATAAACTCCAGAAAGTCCAAGGGTTGCCTTTGAATGGTATAATTATGATTTTGATTTTACTTTTGTTCTCCCAAGTTTTCTTAAATGAATACACAGTCCTTGTGTTATTACCAAAAAAAAAAAAAAAATCTAGTGCAACTCTTGTGTGTGTGAGAGAGACACTGTCTCACTCTGTCACCCAGCTTGGAGTGCAATGGTGCAATCTCCGCTCACTACAAACTCTGCTTCCCACATTCAAGTGATTCTTGTGCCTCAGTCTCTCGGGTAACTGAGATTACAGGTATGCACTACCATGCCCGATTAACTTTTGTATTTTTAGTACAGACAGGGTTTCACCGTATTGGATGGTCTCAAATTCCTGACCTCAGGTGATCCATCCACTTTGGCCTCCCAAAGTGCTGGGATTACAGGCTTGAGCCACTGTGCCTGGAGTGTTTTTTTTCCTTCTTGCTCTGTCGCCCAGGCTGCAGTGCAGTGGCACCATCTCGGCTCACTGCAACCTCCGCCTCCTGGGTTCAGGCAATTCTTCTGCCTCAGCCTCCCGAGTAGCTGGGATTACATGTGCGTGCCAGCACGCCTGGCTAATTTTTGTATTTTTAGTAGGGACGAGGTTTCCCCATGTTGCCCAGACTGGTCTTGAACTCCTGAACTCAGGTGATCCACCCACCTCAGCCTCCCACAGTGCTGGGATTACATGTGGGAGCCACCGCACCCGGCCTCTTTTTTTCTCCCGCCTGCCGCCCAAGAAATTTAATGTCTGAAAAGATCATACTTGTTCAAGGCTACACAGTGGCCTTGAACCGCCCGCCTCAGCCTCCCAAAGTGCTGGGATTACAGGCCTGAGACACTGCATCCGGCCGACAACTTAGTTCTTATGTGCAGCCTTAGCCCAGATGTTCCTGTCACATCTTTGTCCCTCATGCCAGGTCGTATAACAGATTTCAACTTTCTAGTATTCATACCATGAATAAATATTTGTTGTGTCTAGCTTTGGGCTGGGTGCCACACAAAAAAAGAACTAGTCCTTTCCTAAAATAATCTTATTGTGACAACTTAGTTTTTTTTTTTTTTTTTTTTTGAGGCGGAGTCTTGCTCTGTTGCCCAGGCTGGAGTGGTGCAGTGGTGCGATCTTGACTCACTGCAAGCTTCGCCTCCCGGGTTCACGCCATTCTCCTGCCTCAGCCTCCCCAGTAGCTAGGACTACAGGCGCCTGACACCAGGCCTGGCTAATTTTTTTGTATTTTTTAGTAGAGACGGGGCTTCACCATGTTAGCCAGGATGGTCTCGATCTCCTGACCTCGTGATCCGCCCGTCTCGGCCTCCCAAAGTGCTGGGATTACAGGCTTGAGCCACCGCGCCCGGCCCTTTTTTTTTTTTTTTTTATAGTTTTTATAACTTATTTGATGTATTTGATGATCAGCAGTTACTTCACATCCACATAACTGTAGATTTGTGAAAGTGGTAACAAGTACATAACCAAAGTATAGAGCTTGTTTGGTGAATTTCTGACCTCATTATGTTTTCTGGACCACCCACTGTACAAGGACACAGTATGGACATTCCTTACTACTTTGGCCCAGACAGCTTTGTTGAGCCTGGTATCAGTGCACGTATTTGGAGTTTTCCATCTCCTTCGTGGCAAATTTCCGGTCTCTTTAAGAGCCTGAGGGGCACACTTCTTGAAGCTCACTCCATGGATACACTTGTGAATATTAACGGTATACTCCTGGGTCACCACTTAGTTGATGGCATAACGACCATTCTTCTCACCATCCTTCTTTGCAGGAGCCCAAGTTGCTTAAATGGTTTTAGGTAGTAGGCATCTTAGCTATAAAAGCCCTGACTTGGCCCAACATGATGGCTATCTTCTGTAATCCTAGCATTTTGGGAGGCCGAGGCAGGCAGATCACTTTAGGTCAGGAGTTTTGAGACTGCCTGGCCAACACAGTGAAACCCTGTCTCTACTTAAAAAATACAGAAATTTGCCGGGCATG